AGTACTATAGTCTCTATTGCCACATTATAATGGCTTCATATGACTTGGATCATTAGGCTTCTTGAATCATTAGATTAGTCACAAAATCAGACTCAAAGAAGGGCTTCAATGATCGCAATGCTAATATTGTCAAACACTATAGATAAATTGAATCACAAAGACTCCATGCAACAAGAATATGTATAAAGTCAGAGAACTAAACAAACACAACTATTACCTACCTCCTCCCCAGAGACATAAACAATTCGAGCAGGCCCCTTAAAATTGAATCCTTGAGCTAGAATGGCTGATATCTTCATAATCACAAACAAATTTTCATATTAAACCTAAACAGAACAGGATTAAAAAAAGACACTTTCAAAAATATATGGACATTAGCATGTTTGTTAAAAGATAAAATAGCTAGCAAGTTCAGTTTCAACCAAGGGAAGAAGTTGAAACCTGTAATAGTAGTGTACTTTTGCCAACACCAGGATCACCACCAATTAAAAGTAAAGATCCTACACAATTAGAAGTATGACAAACTACTCATCTTAAAAAATAATGGATAAAGATCTATGCACTCCACGTTATATTGAAGCTAATAGATCTATTAATATAAAGTAATTTAACAACAAAAAAACCCATATATCATAGTTAAAACATCAATATAATCAGATAATTATGTAGAAATTTTTAAAATTGTTAATAGTGATACTTTCCGACAGCAAACTTAATCCTACTGTGTGATCTTCCAAGGCAGAGACTGTAAGGGCTTATGCACCTCAGAACAGAGAGATTCAGTATTCCTATAATCTTAATTCTTTCATGAAGATATAAACACCAGGTTAAAGTAGGAACATCATATAAATATGTGAAAAGAGTGACAGCAGATGCAAATATTGTGAGTCTATTTATATATACTAACACCTAACAGCATAAAAATGACACTGAGATGGCCTAAAAATAGACCCCCACAAAAAAAACAAATAGTGCAAAAGAATGCATGACAATGATTATTAGAACAATAGTAGTTTAAAGTTCACATACCTGGTACAATACCACCACCAAGCACCCTAGAGACCTCCATTCCAAAATGTCCAGCCCTAGAAAGCATATGCATAAGCAGCTGCTCATATCAACATCCTATTTTTTTCGATCTGATAAACTACCAAACAAGATAATATGATTTCAAAGAAGATTTTGCCCAAACCCTTCAGTATAGTCAAATTCAGTAATAATGCTTAGGTCTCTGCTTTCTTATTGACAAGTCTGATTGTCAAATCACATACACATACTAACAAGTTGATAACACTGACTATTCCAAACAAGGAAATTGTTCATGAAAGCAGTATTCCACAAATAATAACATGTCCTATAAAAACTATAATTATGGGAGATATTGTTGTAAATATGTGGGAAAACAATGAACCACCAGATAATGAAAAGGCAAGCTGAGAGCGAACAACTTTCTAACAATCAGAGGAAGCATAATCATCTGAAGTACTTGGGTAATTCAAAGTCTGCATTGCTTCTATAGACTGACATTACTGTTTACAATTAAGCAAATCAATCAACAGAAAAGATAAAGAAACAGTCAAATCTTTGAGAAGCTTTTTGAGATGCACGATAACAACTAGTTCTACCTACTTGGGATTAGCAAAGGAGTTCGTCAATATTTGGTTTATAAATGACTATATTCTATGCCCCTATGACACTAATGCACTATGAAGTGGAACCTTGGCCACCTGCAAAACATGAATACTTCTCTGAAAATTGGAAATGAAACACTTGACATTTTTCAAAGAGGCAGTCAGGAAAAAGGGACCATCATTCTACATTACCTTCCTCTAAGATTTAAGAGGCAATCAGACAAATTCATGTAAAGCATAGAAGCAAACCAAACCACATATAAACAACTAGACCATGCTGTCACATGGAGACGAAACTTATCAAACTGACAACATGCAGAAATTATGGTAGATATATGGAAAGTAAAAAAAGAAACACAAACATTTGAGAAATTGCTCATTAGAGATGAATAAACATCCTGATTCCCATTTTCTTCTTTCTGTAACATTTAAAGTTCTCTAATATAAGAAACTGTACTTCAAAGTTTGCTTCTCAAGAAAAAAATGCTGCTTAGTATGCTAACTTTGACTGTAAACAATGGTACTTGTCCTAGTAGGTTTGTCAATAAGATTTGTTTAGTGCCCAAAGTTGGTCTCAAGCATGCAATTTGTCGCTCGACTAACAATGGCTGCCAGATTTATCTGCAGCTAACATGACAAAACTGAGTAAGCTTGTATCCACACTTACCTGCCCTCTAACCAAAACGCTTCAAATACATATGCATTAAATAAATTGGTTCACAAGGATGACAAATTAGTTTTAAATCTAGGATTTCAGAGAGAGAGCATATGTTCAAGCACAAGGACTGGATTTGGAACTAGAGATTTCATACAAGAGGGAAAGAAAAGGAAAGCCTGAGGAGCAAGCCCAGACTCTGTATGTCATTAGAATCAGTACAGCTATCTTTACTATTGCTCTTATCCTTAACCTTCTAGAAATTCTGAAAAAGTAACAATTGTCATCCTACTAGCAACCTACTGGGAAAATTCAGATTGGCTGTTCATCCAAGCTAAATAAGATGCCTTAACACCATATCAGATAAACCAATTCCACATGATTCCATTTTGAATCAGCAAATAAACCCATTTCATTTAAATACTTTCTCCTTATTATGTCAATCAATTGAACCCCGAAGGCCTTATGCATACTCTTTCTTTGTTTTTTCTGTCTTTAGATCTTCCAAAGTTGCATTAATTTAAACCTACCTACCAATATGTTGCTTATACAGAAACAGAAAGGAACACTTAAAGTTTAAAACAAGTACCATACTAATGAAATAACTCAACAAAATGAAGCAAAAATTTGACAAAAAGAGAGATTCACAATGGGATTCTCCATTCTGACTGGTTTCGGCCCATGTTCACATCTGCCAAGCTCAGAGGGACCATTGTTCCTGACTTCGGAGAAAGCCATGACTTTGACCTGACTGCAGCTTCAGACACCTCAGCTCCCCTCGCCCTGCTGACCTCAGCCTCAATAAACTTCTTAACCGAGGCCACGGTCTGGCAAGTCGGACAAGTTCCCCACCACTGTCCGAAGGTCCCTCCACAATTCTCACAGACCCAAGAAACCTTCACCTTTCCCGCCGTCCTCTTCATAATAGATGTGGTTCCTAAAGAAACTTCATTTTTCTGGAAACCCTTGCTTTGGCACTCCCCCAATCTTTGCGGTCTCCCACTAATTTTCTTCTGGTCAGAATTCTCAATGCAGGTGCTCTTCTCTGCCTGTCTGCGGACAGCAGCATCCCTCTCTTCTACCACTGGAATTGTCATCATCTTTCCCTCCAAGGGATCAAAGAACGTTGTAACCTCGTGCTCATCCTCTCCCTTGTCCAAATCCCCTCCAGAACCGCTTCCTCTCCCGCTTGCCCTCTTTTCTTGCCACTCAACTGGCTCCTCTTCGCCTCTGGATTCAAGCTGCTCCGTGAAGGGCTTGTAGGACGCCCAAGGAGTGGCGGACGCACTGGCGCTGCTGGTTTCAGACCAACCGGCAGACCCTTCCTCCGATCCTCGATCTCTAGGACCGAAGGAGCTCGAATAATACGATAGCTTCGATCTTTGGGCAACATTCGAAGAGAGGCAACGCGAACCAAACACGCTTCTTGAGAATAGGAGAATCTTCTTCTGTTGGAGAAGATTGCGGAAGGATTGCATCTTGATGATTTGGACAGCGTAGTGATGGGGTCTGAGCATCGACGAAGACAATGGGACGAAGGAAGATTGTGGGTAGGATTACCGAAAGATCAAGTCTTGAGGGCCCGAGCAGGGTCACGGTGGGGTTTGATGGGAAAGCGCGGGCAAGTGTGGCCTTCAGGGTTTGAGCATCGCATCAAGAAGAACCGGAGAAGAGTTCGTTTCCGGCGAGGAGCATGCTTTGGTGGAGAAGATTGCGGAATGATTGCATCGTGAAAACCTGAACAGAACGTCAAATCAAGATGATGGGACTGCAGGGAGAGAGTGTGGGGTTTAGGGTTTTGGCACCAGATCAAGAACCCTCGAAGAATCTTCTTTAGATGAGGAAGATTGCATCGCGGGGACTCGACTTGGACAGGATGGCGATGGGGTCGGCGTGTGAAATCAAGAATACGTTTAAGGGTTTAGGGTTTAGGGTTTATATGTTATGAGCAAAAGAAGCCCGCCCATTATAAATAGGGAAGCTGGCAAATGGGGCATTGGGGATTGGAGACCGGGTTTTTCGACCGTTGGACTACCCTTTTGGGAACGCTGCCGCACCAGATTAGCTGCTAAGTCGGCCATTAAAAAGGTATAATACCAATAAAAAGGGACTTGCAGATAGTATTCTCATAATTCTAATGCAGTATATATAATATAACTCTTTTTACATTTGAAATCCATTCAAAAAACATAGATTAGTCACTATTGAACTATGCTTGATAATAAGAACGATAATGATTTAAAATTAATTTATACGTATAAAGTACCTAAAATGCTTTTGGTATTTTTACCATCCTCTCATCAATCAATCAGAGTTTTAACATCTCCACTACAGGATATGAATAATATTTTGAGCTGGAAATTTTCCTGATGATCGAACTCACTCTTTTTCTTGATGATTTGAATGGGTGTTTATTTCTTTGCAGCTGATACTGAACATCATTCATCCAGACAAAATTTAGAAGCAAGGATTATAAAATGGAGGTTCCATTTTGTTCCCTAAACAATCAAGATATAATATATGATTGTGTAGTTGTTAACAGTTGATATTATAGCTGCTATATATCTTGCTGTTATGAACGAGCAAATTTTGTGATGGCTGTCGAGAGTGAAATGTTACTAAGAATTAACACCAAGGAAACATGGATTCTTTTGGAACACTGTTCGTTCTTGATTTGTTCTGATACTTGAGATCTAAACCAGCACCATAGAAACATCACAACAAAGTTTTCATGTATTGCCAAATTATATACAAGAACATCCTGACATACATGGAAGTATAAGATCTCACATCAATACAGCAGTTTCAATAAGCTTCTAGGAGGAGGTTCACCAGATGCAGCGTTTGAAAACCTGCTGCAACAAGCTTTCCATAAAAATCCTTGTGAGATTCTTATCAAGGTACATCTGCAGAGATGTGTTGCAACAGCATGAAGATATAGGAGAAACTCTAGCAGCAGCACCATACCAGTTGCATGTGTTGTTTTGCTATACTCGTTGAAGTTGGATTGATTTCTCAAGACAAGGAGCTTGAAGACTCGAACAGCGAGATCCTACGTCTTTTGTTGGAGAATGAGGGTCTTGGCAGAAAGTCCGCTTGTGAATTGACACTATCAAGTATGGACTTGAGGGCCTGGCGAATGGAGGTCATGCAAAGTTGTCTCTCCGCATTGTTATAATTTCTGTCAGATGTCATCACAAGTACATTTTTTATTCGACCACCCAAAGTTGAAATCTCAGCCCTAACCGTCTTCAGCTGTAGACTCTGGAGCGTAAGTCTCAGATCTGCAAAAAGCTCTGGTCGATCCTCACAACATAGTGATGCCTTGACTAGAAAGTTGCCGTCCTTCATTACATCTTCAACTTCGACCCTTACTTCATCGATATCCGAGGGAATGGAGTAACATTTGCTTATTTCAACAGCATTCGTCTTGAGTTCCTTCATGTGATTGATCACTTCAGCAAGCAGTGCAGCTTTGTCCAACTGCAGTAAGTAGCCAGTTCATTTGTATAAATAATCTGCTTATTTGTACATAGTTCAATGTCATTTCATTCCCATCTGACCAAAGGTTTATATGCAAATAAAATATTGGAAAAGAATAAAAGTAAACTGGGGACTTCTTAAACATTATTTCTGCTAAATCAAATCTAAATAATATATTCTGCAAAATGGACACGGTGATGAATAAGCAGGACAGCAGTAATACAAGGAAAATATCACTTCAAACATGTACGAGTTTCATAAAGAGTTATCGGACAAGTCTTTTCACCAGATAAATCAAGTAAAGATGTCTGGCTACAGAAGATTTTTGGCTGAAAGAACTCATGAAATAGTCAAAAGTTCCCTAAAGACAGTCATTAGTATCGACAAGTATAACAAGCATGTCATACCTCACTAATATGGGCTAGAGTAATTTCCTATGTCATCATAATACCAAGTAAAAAAGAATTATGAATCTATGCAAGCTTCTAGAATAAGTTCCCTACCTCGCGACTTTGACCTAAGTTTTCTAGAATAAGTACCCTACCTCATTTTCTCTTCCCAAATCCAAGCATGCTCCACCTTCAAAGTCCCATAATAAAATTTACTAAGATCTAGTCAATCCTTGATTTGTCAAAATCCATTTGTTGACAGTCTCATCAACCAAACATCTCATTGGCACCGGATAATAGATTCAATAAAGAATCACTTACCATATCAACTATACTAATTATACAAAGAGAAGCAACTCTACATACCTTCCACCATTTTGACAAGAGAAGATAGATTAGATTTTATGTCAATCCAAGAGAATTAACTTAAGATCACCATTGCTACATCTAATTACAGCAACTAATTAGAAATGTTTGTTGTCATGTATACACATGATACTTTTACTACGAAAATCCAAATATAAGTGATTATCTGGTAATTTATATAAAAGGGTTCCATAACGATAACAAGGAGATAACCAAATCAGTTGACTACAATAAATCGACCTGAGAAAATATATGATCGATCAAGGCATCATCTATATGACTGATCCCTTCTGCAGGTGCACCTCTTCCTGTAGGTTTCTCATTTAAGCTGTGAATAATGAACCGCAGAAAAGATAATGGTGATTCCACAACTTTTTTTTTCTCCAAAAAACTCTTTTCTAACACCATATATGAACCTGCCCTTCAAAATATATCTCAAAGTACCCTTCCTCTACATGATCTGGTGGAAAGGTTGATGGGTAATTATAACCACTTTAGCTGCCTTTAATCTCTGAAACTGTTCTTCAAAATAGTAATTTTAAACTCAAGCTCACTACCACCGATAGTGTTTCACTTGCACATAAAACACTTATATGACTCCATTTTTGCCGATGAGGAGGAGGTTGCTTTGAGAAGTACTTTTAAGTTTCAAAGTGGAAGCCAATTCCAGAAACATTTTCAACAAATAGGAAAAATTTTGAGGAAAAAACCAGCAATCTAATGGTTCTGAAGGGTCACACTTTTCTTATATCTTAAAAATGGGCAAAAACAAAATAACTATTATATCTCTTTGTTACATCTTGAATGACCATTATGTATAAGGAATTGCAGTTTGTGTTGACTTTTGCTAGAGTATATCACGTACAAAATTATCATTTGGAGTTTAAATATTGAATTCCATGTCAAACAGCTGATCCTTTTTCACTGAATTTGAGAAATGACAGCTATTTTCACTGTTAAAACATTCAGCATATTCGTCATGGAAGTTCACTTGAAGAGAGAAAGGATTGGCAAGATACCGTTATAACAAACCATACGAGTTTAAATATTCAGCATATTGAATTCCATGTCAAACAGCTGATCCTTTTTCACTGAATTTGAGAAATGACAACTATTTTCACTGTTAAAACATTCAGCATATTCGTCATGGAAGTTCACTTGAAGAGAGAAAGGATTGACAAGATTCTGTTATAGCAAACCATACAAGTTTTGTTGGATGATATCTTTGTACAACATATCCAGTTTCTTTGTAGCTGACACATTTTCAGGAGGGTAGCAGCATAAAATCATTCATAGTTTAATCACAGTATTACTTGGTGCCCAAAGCATAAGATAATCTTAGAAATCATTAAAGAAAAAAGCAATTTGGAGTTAATGTTCTGAGATACTTCAGAAATAAAAGAGCTAAATATGATGACTTTGGCTTAAAAATAGAAAAAAAGATAATACACTTCGAGAATCATGTCTGATTATATAGATTATAGATCTTCTGCAAAATTACAGCCAATAGTATCTTGGTCAAACTAAGCCAAATAAAAATCAACAAATAAGATCTCTTCCATCTTCCTCATTATTACAAAAGAAGAGCAGGTGCCAGTAAGCAAAGAAAAAAAAATCTTTGACAAAGTATAGACTAGAAAAAATAAACATTTGAAATATGAGACCAAATACACCGAAGATGCATCAACACTATGCAACTATGAAACTGTGACCTTAAGCTGATGGACCTTTCGATCCACTATGCTTCACAGAGTTTTCTCAAGTTATGCTGCAATGAAGATTACCTTGTAAGTCAACCTTACAAGAAATGATCAAACACTTGAACTAGTACCCAATGGCTAAATGGAACATCTCCAGAGAAACTATCCAAACAAAAAAATTTGAATGATGTTAATGAAATATCAGTGGTTGAACTTTGATTTTTTTAATACTAATATTCAACTCAAATAGTTAAAACTGTATGAACTGAGTACATGTAAGGAATCCTAGAGCACTACCTACTAACCAAAGGAAGCAAATAAAAGAAGGATAAGAACAAATCAACCTCCTATAGGAACAACAAATGAAGCTGCAAAAAGGAAAGAAAGTGAAGACAGAACAGGGGAAAGCAACCACCAACCTTCTCGGTGGATGGGACCATGCTCCTGAGCGTGGCCAGATGCCTATTAATTCTCTCCCTCCGGCGCCTTTCCGCCTCGCAATGGCTTTTCAGCGCCATCACTCCCTTCGCATCCGAGACCCCAACTCCCCCTTTCATCTTCCCTAACCTCGACACCTTCACAAGCTCCCTACCATCGCTATCCAACTCCAACGAAGATGACGATGCTAAAGTAGGCCCGAATCCCGACCCAAAACCACCAGAGAACCCTTCAAAATCCCTCACGTCCCTAACAGGAACAGAACCCATCTACTGAAACAACGTTAGAGAGAAGGCCAGATTGAAAGACCAACAAGAGCTTGAAGAAGCAAAACACGCAAAGATCCAAACTTTCTTTTCGTAACTCACGAACCCGGAGGGCGGTTTGGGGGGCAGAACCAAAACCGGAATCTCGGGCAACGGAGACTCCTCGCTTCACCCTCTACTTGCGCACCAAAAATGGATTCTTTTGTCGCTATTCTTCTTGTAATCCGATCAATTGCTTCCATTCCGAGAACCACCGAGAGCTTTGGCGACAAAGACTATTGGGAGAAGGATTTCGGCTTCGATCTTTTATCGAAATCGATCATTTCTGCTTTCTTTCTTGCAGATTCGAATTTCTGGGGCTCGGAATCGAGGAAAGATGAGACCTTTTCGTTGCACAAGGGAAGAATCTCTGGAAATCAAAACCAACTACTTTAAGAACATTATCTTGGAGGAAGGAAGACAAGAAGGAAAAAAAAAAGGAAGGATTTTGGAGTGGAGGCAGAGTGAAACGAAGAAGAACAAAATGGGGTTATATATCCACTGACAGGATTAACAATATGCTATATAAAGATGAGGCAAAACGTGACACTTGCCGTGGTTTAATGGTGAAGATGGAAAGAACAGGTCTTCGGAGAGGAGGCAGAGTGGAAGGAATCACAAAGTGGGACAATGTATCCACTGACAAGACTAATAAACTACTTCGAAAGATGAAGCAAAATGTGACATAGGACTTTGAACAATACTTTGTTGATTGTGATTCGATGACATGTCAATTAGTTCCTAAATTATTGGTGATTTGGTGGGTTAGGCTTGCAGGTTTTGTCCTGATCTCTCTGCTGGCTCACAAATAATTGATGAACAGGGAAACAGAGGACACAACAGGCAAAATAGTAGCAACTGCAAAAAATACCATTTCCAGTTTTTTCTCGAGAACAATGTTACTCAAGTAGTTCTTTCCATGTTTCTAATATATATTTAGATGGAAATCGCTAGGGAGTAAAACGAAAAAATCCGTGATGAGGAAGTGATAATATTCCAAGTGAGGTTAAGATACATGTTTGTGAGATCTCATACAGACATAAACACTCATTCAACGAGGATATAAATGCTACAATTAAAGAAGAAAAAGAAAACAACAAAATAAAGCGACTCGAAGCTACTGAATTTTCTGATTTGCATAAACAAGCAGTTGAATTGCATAAATCATATACTGTAGGAAAATTATTCTGAGAATGATGATTTTTTTCAGTAGAATTCTACAGTATGATCAACAGACCAACTCGAGATAAAGGCTCTGATATAATCTCCTAGCATTTCATTTTTAGTCCCCACATCTTAGATTGCTTCACTCATTCAACAACTGAAATCTCACAGGCTATCATTGTCAACGAGTGCTGATTGTTGATCTGTCTACCTTCTCTGCTCCTCATGTTTATGGCAGAGCTAATCGTGGCCACGTCTAAGGAACACACTCCAAGTATCAAGGGGATGCAACTCCGTCGGCGGAGCTCTCGCACTACCGTATCTGAGTGAACAAGGCTGAGCCATCTATGCCTTACCCTTTGATGTAGAACCTTTTGGAATATGTTCTTCTTCTCCATGGATTTAACATTCTTTCTGTGAGAAAGAGTCACTTTACAGCAGCCCGTTGACCCCTGCAAGAAAACACCAAACACATCACTATGCATGATAAAATAATTGCCACACTAATGATGCCATAGAGAATAGACTTTTGTTTGGTATTGGTAATTTAATTCCAACATACACCAACTTCCAAGAGGAAAAGTAAAATGGAACTTCACTTGTTGATAGATTGGTTTGAAATGTTTTCGAACATGACAGTGATTTATGGCATACCCACAAACTTCTCAACTTGAGATTTGTCACACATCAAATCATTTCATTAGCATAAAGAGCATTGAATGCATCCAATTCATGAAATCATGATGATCCGGAAAAAACAAAGGTGTATCCCATCAGCTTTACAAGCATGCTGTCATGGATGAGGTGATAAACTACAGATATATCTATTTGCTTGGAAACAAGTAGATTAGATGCCCAAAACCAGGAGCGATGTTCTCTTTAAAGTTACAGAGGAAAAAATTGAGAAAGAAACATTAAGTTTTCACCTTTACTTGCAGAGACATAATCAAGCAAGATCAATTTCCATGGCATCTAAGTTTATCAATTTGTAATGGAATTTCTTATTGACCAAAGCTTTACTCAATTAATCTGTGTAATATTCTTAACTGTGTACTTTTTACTCCATTAATCTGCAAATGTTGTTATGTTTTTGTGTTCTTGTTGGATTGGCATCATTTCTGTATTTTGTTTTTGGTTGAAAAGAACACAGAATTTATTTTGTTTTTCATTCTGCAAAAGTAAAGATTATTTCTCTGGGAAGCCTATCACTGTCAAGAGAGGTTTTGGTTGCTGGTAATGCAGTGTTTCGATACAAGCCTAAAGCAATTGTTGGTGTTTCCTTCCTAAAGTAAAAGACATCAAAATGTTACAGGAGTCTGCAGAAACTTGTAGTTGTTTGCTTTCTAGCCTATTAAGTCTGCATATGCTCCTTCAAGCCAAAGCATACTTCCTCATCCTATCCTCCATGACAAATGTCAATCAGCTTCCTCTGTTCTGTTGACTTGAATAACAATTTGTTTTCCCATTTGTTAAGTAGAGTTGACATAGCAGAAATCCTTACTTTATCATAGATCTTAGAGGCATAACATCACTGACATAATCTCGCTACTAAAAAGATTAACCAGAAGGAAACAACCTTCAATCTAAAACTTGTTTCCAGAAACCAGAACCTCTTTGAATGAAACAAATGAATATACCTGTGATTCAGAGAATCAATGCCTTCCAAGCAATCGCTTCCATATGTTCATGGCGGCCTTGTCTTTTGCTAGCTCTCAACTCTGACATGCATATCTTTAAGATATAAATTACTGAAAGAAATAAATTTTAATGTATTTGACCAATGCTTGACCCTTTCTGTACTCGATCTACTACCTTTTTACATACATCAACAAATTTGTGATAGTCTCAAATTGAACTAAGTCATTATGTTGGCTGGTTCTCATCACAGACGTTGCGACTAATAATTGTTTTTTCATCTATACAATGATCTCCAGAAGGAAAATATAGAAAAGAGAAGCAATTTAAAGCAAGAAGCTCAATCAAATGTTATCAAACATCTGCAGTCTAGCAAGTTATTTATTTGTGTCTGTATGCAAAAAGTGAAATGTTGTATTTTGGGTGCTGCTATTGCGTTGTCAATTCTTTAGCATCTTCCTTCAATGCAAGCTCGTGTGCATTTTTCTAAACTTCCTATGCCACCGAGCGTATTGGTATCGAATGCTGCCTATTAGAACCTAAATACCAACGATCCGGCTTACGATTAGAAAAATACAATGAAGGAACAGATAAAATGTCCAGCAAAATTCTGTCAGGATATCATTTTTCAAAGTGTAGATAGCCACTATAGTTGATTAATCATTTCACGATCTTAATTACTACAATGTGGATGAGGGATTATGACAGGAAGAACGAATATTTGGTTAAGAACTTCGATTGAACCTAATAATATCAAAGAAACAGGGTTTTCTTTCTTCGAAGAAACTTACATTTAAACTCTTGAGCAGTACCCAAGAAAGTAATGCGGAAGCCCATCAACGAAGATCGCCACATAAAGCCCGCCATGCTCCTTCGCACTGCTCCAGAATCCCTAACAAGATCATCCGAACCAAGCATTCCTCCCTACAAAACAATTCGCATCTACATCACACAAAAATAGTTTCTTGGATGAGGCAACCTTGATAGCGACATCAAGCACCCAATGGAAGGGTGATAAGATCAAAGGACGAGCAGAATCCACAGATCCAGAGCAGGCGCCGGCAGGGACGTCACCACCGTGGGCTCGGTGGCACTGGCAATGGGGGACGAGCTCCTGGTCGGATCCAAAGTGGCAACGCTGTGGCCTGTGGGAAGAGATTTGGAGGGGAATAAAAGTGAAAATGAATTCTTACCCTTTTCGCGACGATAGACGCCATTAACGACGACGATCTCGACAGGAGTTGGAGGGAGGCTCGATGGTTCGAACTGATTCGAGAATAACAGTTGTTATTGTGATTAAACGGACCGTTATGTCCAATGGTATCACGGTATCAAATCCAAGAGCCGTCGCACATTAATGACATAAAGAAGTATATGATTAGTGAGTGATCTGTTAAACCTTTCATATTCTCGTGCGTTTCCCTCAAAAGCGTCAAATATGCATTCAAATTCCAAGTCCGGTTTGTGGGTGTATATACACCGCTGATCCGAACCGCAACATGTGAAAGACGCCATACTTGGATATAACGGCTGATATAAATGACTACAACGGTGGATATAAAATATCGCCCTCGACCCGATCTCGGTGCCACCATTTCTTTGTTGCCCGATCCAAACAGCAGCCGCGCCACCGAAGAGCTCCTCCTTTCCCGCTGCGCCGCCGCTTTCTTCGTATTCCGTTGATCCCAAGGTAGATACTTCCCTCGGTGCCAGGTTCTTCTCCGGCCGCTTGTAGGGGTCGAAGGGCGCAACACGGCAAGCGAAGAGTTTGATCGTGGACCAAGCGGCGCTTATCGATTGGATCAGTCATTCGAGGACGGATTCTTTGCGATAGGTACAGGTCCATGGGTGGGAAAGGTGATTCTTTGCGGCCGACGAAGGATGAGGCGCCTTCGGGGAGGCAGTGGGGTTGATGATTTTGATAGTTTATCTCGAGAATTGGGTGAGGAAAGTCTCGGAGTTCCAGAGATAACTAGCGAAGAGGCGGTTTGATAGCGATTTGGAGGATGAATACAAGGTCGATGATGAGGAGGAGGAAATTGACTGTTTGTGCAGACAGAGAACCCTATATACATCGTTTGGGTTGAACTGGTAGGAAAGGCCACGAAGGAATAGGTAGTCTGATGTCCGCACCATGGGAAAACTTCTTTTTTTAGTAGCATCAAAGATATCCTTCGAAGAATCAATTTTGGGGATTTCCTTCCACCGTTCCTTCTATGATTGTTTCCCCTTTTTTTTTGGTGTCTGATGTGAAAATACTTTTTCGTATCGTTTTAGATTTTGGGATATTTGTTAGTCGACCGATCTATTAGCTTTCTGGATGATGGTTTTGGAGGGGAGGATGACTGTCGTGTTGTGAGTTTCTGTTTCAGTCAAGATTAGATATTTAAACTGCTGGGTTTTTTGTCCAAACTATGTCAAAACTCGATTTTTTTTGGCTTAATTCATTATAAATTTTTGGATCTGATTTCCTTTTAATGATTTCTTAAATCGTCAAGTTGAGATCTTGGAACAAGCTAGTAGTGCTGGCTATAAGTTACATTCTGATAGTTCCACAATTTTTAGACGTGATGAGTTCTTTCCTTTGTCATGAACTTGTGACTATGGTTGATTACTATGAGACCAAAGTCTCCAATGTTGGAAAATTCTTGCCAGTTATA